GCGTCAAGGTCCCTCTGGATGGCATTCCTTCCCCCCAGCGTATCAACCGAACCACACAGCTTGGTGCCATCGGCAAACGTGTATAAACAAATACTGTACATACTTAGCAACTTACTTAAATATCCTGGTGACTCAGCCCCAGACCACACATACATACGTGCCTGGGACACGCAAAGTTAACCCATGTGGTATATATTTGAGGTACAAGCTGAGAACAGAGGCCCTACGCGGAGTGACTAAGATAATTTACCGAAGCTGTGTGATTTCTTAGCCTCCATGCAGGAAACTCTGCAGTCAGTGAACCTTAGGAATGATCAACAAATGCAAGATGCTCTTTCTCGTTTTCTTTGTGCATCGTTTTCAGTGGTTTGTTTCCTTCATTCTTCTGGTTGTGATTTTTTCCTTGCGTCCTTACTCAGTGTTACAGCCTCAAGCCATTGCCAAGCTACCTTGGTGAAGTGGGAGAAGACAAAAGCTTGGGACACTCCTTCACCTTCATCTTTATCTTACTGTGCCCTGTTGGAATGCAGAACAGTTCCTCTAAACCCAGGGAGCAGCCACCTGTGGGGAGAGGAAGACTGGAGCATTCAGATCAGGCATGGACATTGTAATGGGAGGTTGAACGAAAAGCTTTTGCTTTTTTTGACTGTACCTGCAGTTGTGGGAGAAGGAGGGCCTGGAGCACAGGTGTGATGGGGAACGAGTGAGGGACCTGGCGGGGGTTCAGTGTGGAGAAGAGAAGGCTCAGGGGGGGACCTGATGGCTGCCTCCAACTGCCTGACAGGAGGATGGAGCCAGGAGGGGCTGGGCTCTGCTCCCAAGGAACAAGGGCTGGGACAAGAGGAACCGGCCTCAAGCTGCACCAGGGCAGGGTTAGATGGAGCTGAGGAACAATTCCTGCCCCAGAGGGTGCTCAGGCATTGGAACAGGCTGCCCAGGGCAGTGGTGGAATCCCTGTCCATGGAACTGTTAAACCATGTAGAAGCTGGAGGCGCCTGGACTACAAGTCCCAGCGTGCTCCGCGGCAGCGGCCCCTGCCCTGCTCAGGAAGCGCCTCCACTGGCTCAGTTGCGAGAGTCGGCGTCCGCAGCCCCCCTGCCGGCCGCGCGGGGCAGCGCGGTCTCCAGACTCGCTCCCCCAGCGGTGTGTAGCGGCCGTCCCGGGCCTCAGCTACCCCGCTGCTGCCTGGCCCTGGTGGCTGGGCTGGAAACGGGGCCAGATGCTGTGCTGGTTCCTTTGTCCTGTCCGCTGAGGGGGTGTCTGGGCGGTGGGTGCTGGTTTGTGGCTCTGGCGTGTGCTGCTCATGCGGGTGAGGAGTGAGCCGCAGGGCTGGGAGCAGGGGAAGGGCAATTCAGGCCTACACCCAGCTCTGCTCTCTTGTTAACCACGGTTTCCTTCCTCCCCTGAGCTGCACTGACACCAGAGGCCTACAGCTTAACATAGTGACAGTCTGGTTTGTGTTGGAAGGGACCTTCAAGCTCATCCAGCTCCAACTTGGCCTTGAGCACTGCCAGGGCTGGGGCAGGCACAGCTTCTCTGGGCACCCTGTGCCAGCGCCTCAGCACCCTCACAGGGAAGAGCTTCTGCCTAAGAGCTCAGCTCAGTCTCCCCTCGGGCGGGTTCAAGCCGTTCCCCTTGGCCTATCACTGCTTGATGGCATCTTTGATTTTTACACTCTCATTTTGCGATTCTAATCAGGTTGACCAATATTACTGTGATATCCCTCCCATGCTGGCCCTCTCCTGCTCATCTACTTACAGTAGGGAACTGGTAATTCTCACAGTTGCTGGAGATATTGAGGGCAGCGCCTCACCTTTGCAGTCACTCTGGTGTCGTATATCTACATCCTGTGGGCTATTCTGTGCATGAACTCTTCTGAGAACAGGCACAAAGCCTTCTCCACCTGTGGGTCTCACTTGATAGCAGTATGCCTCCTCTATGGGAACACTATCTTATTACGAATGCTGGGAATTGGTCCTGTAGGCACACTTGCATCTACATTCTTCTGTACTAAAGCAGCCTGGAGGACTGGTACCTCTTACTGACCACATTGTTCCTGCAGAAAACATGAGCAAATCCTCTGTGGGAGGCTGAATGGAAGGAAGGCTCCTTTCCCATCATTTCAGATCGTCAGTCTGGGTGTGTTCTCAGCCAGCATGCCGAGAATCCAACTGCAACACCAAGCACAAGCTGGCCATAGTTTGCACCATGCATCTCAAAATCAGTCTGCCAGGGTGTGAATCAATTCCCACAGTCATAGAATCAACCAGGTTGGAAAAGACCTTGAAGGTAATCAAGTCCAACTGTTCCCCAACACTGCAAGTCCACCACTAACCCATGTCACTAAGGGCCTCATCTGCATGCTTTGTGAACGCTTCCAGAAATGGTGATTCCACCAGTGCCCTGGGCATCCTGTTCTAATACCTGAACTAGTGATGTCAGTTGTGCTCATGTGCCCATATATTAGACAGCTTTAACACTCCTCTTATAGCCAGTGAGGGGAAAACAGAGGCTTTGTATTCTTGGGCTTTGTGAGCACTGCTCTGGCTTTTCCCAGTGTTGGCAGACTGAAGGAAGGTTTACAGAGTATGCTTTAGGTCTGTGTGAATCTGTAAGTAAAACCAGTGCTTCACACCAGGCAAAAGTGAAGGCATGTCTGACAAAGGTGTAAACGGATGTGCAGAGAGGTGGGGTGCTGTGCAGTCCCTGTGTGTTTTGGCTCTAAATCTGTGTATCTCTTAGCTACGAGGCTCTATGCTGGGATGATAAACTCTTAGAGCTTGAGATGGGCCTTAGGCTGTGTTAAAGTGCTGTGGTGTGTCGTTCCAGCTGTTGTGCCGGGTGCTAAATCACTGCTGTGACTTTGTTGCATGCACACTACTTACTAAAACCACGTGTCAAGGATGTCTGTCTCAGTGGCCTTTTTTGTGGTTGCTGCCTTGATGTAAAAGATAAGCTAACGGTTTCACTGCAGGAACCTGAATCTTAGTCATAGCAAATACACATTCTTAATATTCAGACAATGGAAATCACTCAAGCTTTGTCCATTCTCAGCTGCTGGTCATGTTGACAACGGGTTCAGAAGTCAACAGTAATGACCAAAGAGCTTTCCTCTTGGGTAATACATTCAGGATTTTCTGGGGTTTTCTTTTGGTTTTAAAGCGTATCTCAGCAGCTTAAGAAAATGCATGTAACTCCATCTGAGACCAGCTTCAAAGACAAGCACTAAGAAGTCAGGGCTACCCATGTGGCTGTAACACTATGGAGCTTCCCACATAGTTCAATGCTATAACATATGGTAAAGTTGGGATTTGGTTTTCTAAGCACAAGGTTCAATAGCACACAACGTCACCCAAAGTATCCTTCCTGGTCCATAGTTCCTGTTCCATAAAACATACAGAGAGAGTAGATGAGAAGACCAGAAGTCATCAATCCCCAACTGAATGAAAAGATGAGAAATGCTCTACTGATAGACAGTGGCTATTGCCCTGTTATCGGGTGACATGATCTAGTGTGAGGCATACCAGCCCATGGCAGGGGGGTTGGAACTGGTTGATCTTAAGGTCCTTTCCAACCCTACCTATTGTATGGTTCTGTTATGAGCAGAGCCCCAGACGTTTTCATGGGGTTTCCTGTGGTTCTTGAACTATGACAGTGGAAACCACTTAAAAAACCCCAACCATTTATCCCAAAGCCGTCTGGCAAATCACAAGATATGCATCCATGTGGACAAAAATGTACACAGAAAGCCCAGCATAGGCTACAACACCATTCTAATTCTGGAGTCAGGTAACTGCTCTTCAGGGGTTAGTTTAAAGCAAATCCCCTGTCCTGTCACTACAGGCCCTTGTCAAAAGCCCCTCTCCCGCTTTCTTGTCAGACCCTCTAGGTATTGGTAGGCTTCTGTGAGATCCTTTTGTCCTTTGGTAGGGACTGCCAGACTACTTGCACATTTAATTACTCTCATTTACCAATTCTCAGGTTCTTTGAGACCTGCTTGGACTCCTGACTCTCTGTGCTACTCAGGGAAATACAGGCTTGCTACTGCTCTTTGAAGGGATGGTTTGACCTCCCTGTTCCTCAGACTGTATGTACATCATAGGATTCAGCGTGGGAATCACCGGAGCATAAATGAAGCAAGGCTTATTGTGCTCCATAGAGAATTGTGAATTGTGTGTACATGAAGCAGCCTGTTCCATAAAACATGGCAGCAGGAATCGGGTGGGAAGCAGAGGTGGAGAAGGCTTTTTGCCTGCCTTGGGACTTAGATCTTGTGAATGGCAACTGTGATGCAGGTGTAGGAGATGAGAATGAGAATCGTGGCTGAGGTGATGAGCACAGCCGCACAGGTGAAGTGGTCCATGATGTATGCGTTGGAGCAGGACAGCTTCGGGATGCGGGGCACAGCATAGAAATGTTACTACAGCAAGTGGCCCAAGAGACCTACTGTAGGCATCGAGGACCTCAGCCCTGCAGCTGGACACTGGCATCATCTTGTCTGGTTAATGAGCTTGTGTCTGGGCAAACCACTGTGGAGCTGCCCCTGAGAGGCAGCTACAGGCATGCAGAACGCCCTGTGGTCCCCAAAGGTGCCTGGGATGGGGCTGGAGGGAGCTGCTCTCAGGGAAGGCTTGGAGAAGAAGTGAAGTTGAGCCAAAGGACCTGCCCTGCAGGGTGGCAGAAGGAGCTGACCAGGGCAGGGCTGAGAAGGAGCTTTAGGAGCAGCAACCACCTTGCCCAGGTTTCTCCTCTTGGCCCGGTCCTCCTGCTGGGACACCACAGCTTCCCCCGTGCCCCTGAGCCCACCTTTCCTTTCCCTTCCCATCCCCAACACCCCCTGCCCCTCCTGCAGGGGTTAGTCCACTTGCATGGCTCTTTGCAGAACTATCAACATGTTTATTTACAAGAACAGAGGGCTCACGGAGAACAGGAGCCCTGGGAAGCCTGGCCCTGCCTCTCTGCACCACGGCAGCTGCATTCAGTGGGAGACCTTTCCGGGGTCAGGAGACCTTCCTTCGCCGCTGCCGAATCCTCTCCAGCACCGCACGCAGGGTATTCCTGGTCGATGCTGCTGCAGTGTCCTGGGCATCCGGGGCTGGGCATGGTTGGCAAGAACTCATGTTCCTGGTGACAGGGGAACCGCAGTGCTGCTGCGAGGATGGGCTGTGCTGGCTGGGGATCCCCTCTAGGTAGCAGGGGTTTGGGCTTCGAGCCATCACGAGTGGTCTTCCCTGTGAGAGGCCATCAGGAGTCCATCTGCTTTGCCTCTCTGTGCTCCAGGAGGTGCCCTGGGACCATGTCCCACAGCCTAGGGATGCTGCATTCCCTTCCCCGCTGGTGGTGCTTTTCAGAGGGTCTATCCCACTTGGGAAGCTGCCATCAGCAGGCCTAGCTTGTTTCTTGCAGCAGCAACAATGGCTCTGTGGGGCTCCTGGAGCACGTACCATGAAGCCTTCATGGGTTGAGCACATGTGTGCTCCCTGTGCCTTCTCTGGCTTGGTGTCCACAGCAGGAAACGTTTGGACAAGACCTGGGGACACAAGGGTGGATGCTGGCCCTGGCGAGTCCTTCACCATCCCACAGGGTGTCCTTGGCGCATCCTTGGTGTCTGTGCCCATCTCATTCCCAGAGCTGCAGGATGTCCTGGGCAGGGTCCTGGCCTCCAGGAATGCCTGGCTGCTCTCCTCCCCTGGAACGGGGCTGCAGGAGGAGACGCAATACAGGCAGGAGCACGGTGTCATGGGGAGCACAGTGCAGGTGAGGGATGCCTGAACCTGCTCCTGCAGGACCCATTCCTTCTGCCTGAGCTGCTTTGCTTTTGCCACGTGTGCAGAGCACTTGTTTGGCAGCAGATTCCCAGCCCCAGCCTGCCTCCGTCTGGGCTGTGAGCACCGCAACATGCCCGTGGACTTCTGCGCTGCCTTGGGGAGCGTTTGGAGTTTTATCTCCGGGCATTTTCTTGCTGTGTGTATCAAGAGCTTGCTGTGGACCTCCTGGTTCAGCTGCAGTGTTGATTTCCTGCTAGACGCTGTGGCACAGGCCGAGGTCCTGTCCTCAGCATGGGCCTGGCCAGTGCCTTGTGTGGGGATGTTCATCTGACAGGCAGCATCTTTCTTCAGGAGCATGGAAGCTGCTCCTGCTTCTGGTCCTGCTGCTCGGTTATCCAGGCTGGGAAGGGGAGGTGGGGCCGTGGCTAAATCAAAAGGCGACAGGTACTCCTTGTCCCACGGTGACAAACCCCTACCCAAGTGAAGGAGGCTCTTCCTCAGTGTATCCTCCTCTGGTGCTTGGATGGCTGGTTTCTCCTCAGATCCATGTGGGCTCTGTGGCTCCTGCTGTCCTGCTTTGTGCTGTCCCACTGCACTGGCATTGCCCGGGGCCATGGGCTCCCCAGCTCTTCTCTCCTTTGGCAGCTTTGGGACCAAGAATCCAAGCAGTGGTGGAGGGCACAGCATCTGCAGTGCCAGGGACTCCTTGGTGGCATTTGGGTCCCCCCTTGGCCTCCTCACTTCCTTCTCTTCGTTTTTGTCCATAGTAGCGTTTGCCTTGGCCTGCATCGCAGGGCACAGGTCGTGCCTCAGCAAGGGCTGGCTCTGTCCTGGCAGGATGAGCTTGGGCAGGACACGGAGGCAGCCCTGCTGCTGTGCTGCTTGCTCCTGGGACTGCTGCACCGGCATTGGCGGGGCCCCCATCCGTATCTCCAGGGCTTTCCGAGCCACGTGTGTCTTTAGGGCTGAAGAGACTCTGCCAGGACACGTGTGGTCGAGGAAGCAAACAGACCTCTCCTCCATAGGGGCTCCTCCATCTCGAGTCAAGTGTGTGGCTGTCAGGTTCTCGGGGCGACTGATGCTCTTGGGGTAACTGGGGGAGCCGCAGCAGCTCAGCTGCTCCTTCTCCACCAGCTCCTCCAGGTCCTGCCATAGCACCTGCCATGTGCCAGCATCCAGAGCGGCTGCAGCTCCTCTCCCAGCCCACGCTGACAGCACCAGCTCCTGCAGCTCCTGCGCAGCCTTGATGCAGTCAGTGCAGCCAGGCCTGCAGCGCCAGGGCCCACACAGGGGGGACACAGCGTTACCTGCAACCGAGGGAGGGGTTCCTGAGTGTCGGGGTGCCGGAACCAACCTGGGACCGTACACCCAGCCTGCTCCACATGGGGCTGGGCTCCTCTGGGGGGACCTGCTGGGGACTTACATGGCTCTGCTGCACGAAATCGCCTCCTCCATATCCACCGTTGCTTGCCCTGGCCATCACCCTGTGGGAAGAGCAGTGTGGCACAGTCACCTTCCTGGGGACAGCCACCACCAGTGCTGGGGCAAAGTGGGCCCCATGGCCACAAGCGACCCCACTGGCAAGTACTGATGGCAAGCAGGATGGCCCCAGCAGCCAGGATGAGGATGCTGAGGCCCAGAAGAAAGCTGCTGTTGCTCATGTGCACTGCCCGTGACGAGCACACTGGGAGCTGTGGAACAGTGGCATGGGTTGCTGTGAAGTTAGAGCCTGCTGCTGAGAACAGCCGAGTGATGTTGCAGGCCACATTACTCCAGCACTGTGGGCATCCTGCTGCTGCTGCTGCTTCATGAGCCCTAAATATCCTTGTGCTGATACGGGTCTTGAAACTGGAAGGAAATCATGGGTCAAAGAGGACAGCCATCCTTGTGCTCACTGTCTCCTTGTGTGTGACTCCCCTGAGACACCTCAGTTTTGCCTTCTTCTCTTAGCAGAACCATAATAATACATATCCTTAACACATAGCATAGCCATCCAGGGGTGCGTGACAGCCTGTACTGCTGTCACAATGGACATTGTGCTCAGGATGACATTTGTCAGTGGTGGGGTATTAGTGTTCAATTTCCTGTAATCAGTTTGTACAGTCCCAGACTGGTTTGAGTTGGAAGGGACCTTCAAGCTCATCCAGTTCTAATCTAGCCTTCAACACTGCCAGGAATGGGGCAGCCACAGCTTCTCTGGGCACCTTGTGCCAGCGCCTCAGCACCCTCACAAGGAAGAACTTCTGCCTCAGAGCTCATCTCATCTCCCCTGTCAGTTTAACATGGCAAGGATTACATGCCGAGGATTGCTGACCCAGTGAAACAAGCAGCCTTTATAAGAGAGCTACAAGGGACAGACAGAAAGGGAGGGGAATCACTGTTTGAGGTGTTGCTGGTCCTCATACAACAACACACATGCAAGCTGAATTCCAGTCCACAGTCTCCTTTTTCAATTGAGAGGGAGTTCACATCACTGACAGTCTTCCCCATTGGACCATTAAGTTGTATTTTTACTGATTCATGGTCTGTGGTACTCTGAGAGTAATACTAGATGGCTGATCAACAGATGACTTGTCCCTGAAAGCACAACCGCATCAGAAGAGAGACACAAAGTCCTCTCCTAAGCTCAGAGAAGCAGTGTCCACAGCCTGTACATAGATGTTTGCACTCTGGATGCTTCCTGGAATTTGAATGTTTCTTTCTCTACATTGATTACTAGAGCAGTAGAAGTTTAAGCTTAGAGGAGTAACTTAATTGTTTAAGTTGACTGATGAACCCCATATTACCAATATCAAATGATAGCGCAGAGACATGAATAAGAATCCAAACATGATAATCTCCCCCTATTCTGGGCTGGCTTTCCCACATCATTTCCCCCCAAACCAGAGCATCCATTTCATCCCTTTCATGTGTCATGGTTTAGCCTCTCCCCAGAGATTTTGAAGGTCTAGACATATCCATCACTGGCTACTGCAAGCCTCTGTGGAGCTTTCCCGTCTCATCAAAGACAGTTTGAAATAGGAAAGGTAAAGATCAGTTCTGCCGTGGTGTTTTGTTTTCCTCCCATGTGATTGTTTTGCTCAAGTTCTAGTGTCTTGCCTCAGGGATGTCTTCTCTGAACTCTTTACCCCAAAGCTTCTGCCTGTGTTCTGCGTGAGTGCAGGGGGACAGGGTATGGGGATAGGGAAGATAGAATCTGTTTGGTGTAATTTCAGCAGCGTAAAATTCAACCAGGCAAGGCTGATCTAACCATTGAGGCTTATTTTGTAGTCAGTGTAAGGAGGGAGAGACCTGCAGGAAGCAAAACATGCTATTTCCCTTGAAATTATTTTACAGTGGGATGAGTCAATCTTTGGAAGAGTCCATTTCTTGCCAATGATAGCTAAAAAGATAACTAAAAGAACCTGGCTAACTTTTAGATGCCTAAAACTAGTTAGGATGATTTTTCATGCATTTTGAGGGCTCCTCTGACCTCCAGAGCCTTTGAGGTCTGCTGTTGCGCCAACACAAGTTTCATGACATACAAAGTTATCCTCTTTCCATTTAGATGTTACTGGAGACTACTGGGAGGAACGTCTCGAGTTCAGAAGCAATAAAACTGTAAGACCTTACGTGCTTGCCTCTGGACATATATAGTATCATAGAATGTTTTGGGTTGGAAAGGACCTTAAGATCATCCAGTTCCAGCCCCCTGCCATGGGCAGGGACACCTCACCCTAGACCTTGCCACCCACGGCTCTGTCCAGCCTGGCCTTGAACAATGCCAGGACACGGAAGCAGCCCTGCTGCTGTGCTGCTTGCTCCTGGGACTGCTGCACTGGCATGGGCCGGGCCCCCATTCATAGCTGGGCTTTCTAAACCATGTGCATCTTTAGGGCTGAAGAGACTCTGCCAGCACACGTGTGGTCAAGGAAGGAAAGAGACCTCACCTGCTTAGAGGCTCCTCCATCTCGAGTCAGGAGCGTGGCTGTCAGGTTCTCGGGGCGACTGATGCTCTGGGGGTAACTGGGGGAGCCGCAGCAGCTCAGCTGCTCCTTCTCCACCAGCTCCTCCAGGTCCTGCCATAGCACCTGCCATGTGCCAGCATCCAGAGCAACTGCAGCTCCTCTCCCAGCCCACGCTGACAGCACCAGCTCCTGCAGCTCCTGCGCAGCCTTGATGCAGTCAGTGCAGCCAGGCCTGCAGCGCCGGGGCCCACACAGGGGGGACACAGCGTTACCTGCAACCGAGGGAGGGGTTCCTGAGTGTTGGGGTGCCAGAACCAACCTGGGACCGTACACCCAGCCTGATCCACATGGGGCTGGGCTCCTCTGGGGGGACCTGCTGGGGACTTACGTGGCTCTGCTGCCCAAAATCGCCACCTCCATCTCCGCTGTTGCTTGCCCTGGCCATCACCCTCTGGGAACAGCAGTGTGGCACAGTCACCTTCTTGGGGACAGCCACCACCAGTGCTGGGACAAAGTGGGCCGCATGGCCACAAGCGACCCTGTCTGCGACGGCTGATGGCAAGCAGGATGGCCCCAGCAGCCAGGATGAGGATGCTGAGGCCCAGAAGAAAGCTGCTGCTGCTCATGTCCTCTGCCCGTGACGACCACACTGGGAGCTCTGGAACAGTGGCACTTGTTGCTGTGAAGGTGCCACACCCTGTATTGATGTCACAATGGAGGCTGTGCTCAGGGTGGCAGTTGTCAGTGGTGGGGTATTAGTGTTCAATTTCCTGTAATCAGTTTGTAAAATCCCGGGCTGGTTTGAGTTGGGAGAGACCTTCAAGCTCATCCAGTTCCAATCTGGCCTTGAACACTGCCAGGGATGGGGCAGCCACAGCTTCTCTGGGCACCCTGTGCCAGTGCCTTCCTCACAAGGAAGAACTTCTGCCTAAGAGCTTATCTCATGTCCCCTCTCTGTCAGTTTAACATGGGAAGGATTACATGCCGACGACTGATGACCTTGTGAAACAAGCAGCCTTTATATGAGAGCTACAATGAACAGAGAGAAAGGGAGGGGAATCACTGTTTTAGGTGTTGCTGGTCCTCATACAACAACACACATGCAAGCTCAATTCTAGTCCAGTCTTCTTTTTCAATTGAGAGGGAGTTCACATCACTGCCAGTCTTCCCTATTGGACCATTAAGTTGTATTTTTACTGATTCATAGTCTGTGGTACTCTGAGAGTAATACTAGATGACTGATCAACAGATGACTTGTCCCTGAAAGCACAACCGCATCAGAAGAGAGACACAAAGTCCTTTCCTAAGCTCAGAGAAGCAGTGTCCACAGCCTGTACATAGATGTTTGCACTCTGGATACTTCCTGGAATTTGAATGTTTCTTTCTCTACACTGATTACTAGAGCAGTAGAAGTTTAAGCTTAGAGAAGTAACTTAATTGTTTAAGTTGACTGATGAACCCCATATTACCAATATCAAATGACAGAACAGAGACATGAATAAGAACCCAAACATGATAATCTCCCCCTATTCTTGCGAGTTTTCCCACATTATTTCCCCCAAAACCAGAACGTCCATTTCATCCCTTTCATGTGTCATGGTTTAGCCTCTCCCCAGAGATTTGGAAGGTCTAAACATATCCATTACTGGCTACTGCAAGCCTCTGTGGAGCTTTCCCATCTCATCATGGTTAAAGCCATTCCCCTTTGCCTGTCCTTACAGACCCTTGTCCAACGCCCCTGTCCAGGTTTCCTGCAGCCCCTTTAGGCACTGGAGCTGCTCTAAGGTCTTTCCTTAAGGAGCCTTCTCTTGTCCAGGCTGACCCAGCCCAGCTCTCTCAGCCTGGCTCCAGAGCAGAGCTGCTCCAGCCGTCAGAGAAGAGAAGGGTCAGGGAGGACCTTGTCACTCCCTACAACTGCCTGACAGGAGGATGGAGCCAGGAGGGGCTGGGCTCTGCTTCCAGGGAACAAGGGATGGGACAAGAGGAAACGGCCTCAAGCTGCACCAGAGCAGGTTTAGATGGAGCTGAGGAACAATTCCTGCCCCAAAGGGTGCTCAGGCATTGGAACAGGCTGCCCAGGGCAGGGCTGCAGCCACTGGCTCTGCAAGTGTTCCCAAACCATGCAGACGAGGCCTCAGTGGCATGGGTTAGTGGTGCCCATGAAGGTGCTGGGGCAGGAGTTGAACTCCGATATCTTAAGGGACTTTTCCAACCTGGTTGATTCTATGGCCTATGAGTCTATGAACCTTGTATGCTTTTGCAGATGTTGTTGAATTTAGCACTTTTATTACTTCGTCTCACTCTGGGACAATTGCCGGTAGAGAAATAACCACATTTGAGCATTGTTTCCACTCAGAGCTCAGTGCAATACCACCAATCCCTGAAAAGCCTTTAAATAGAGAGGGATTTGGGTCTGTTCATTGCCCTTCTCAGGGCACGCTTCATGTCCGTGGTCCTGAGGCTGTAGATGAGGGGGTTCAGCAATGGGGTTACAATGGTGTAAAAAAAGGGGTGACATTGCCAATTACTTGGATGCCTAGCTGATAGAGTCAGTGGACTCTAAAGGATGATTCAGATCACCAGATAGTTGGTGATAACTTCATCTCAACTTCTCAACTGTTTCTGGGAACCCGAGCAGCCTTCTGGACTTAACCTTGGAACCTGATTTATTCCTCACTCGTGACGGAGATTTAGATGTATGGCATACAGATAAATGCTTACATGTAGGTGCCTAAATCTGACGACTTTAGCTGAAACTGAATCCTATCCTGTGTTTTTAAGACCAAGTAGAGTCTCACAACCTGAATGAGCAATAATGCTGTCAAGGGAAAGTACTGCAAAACGAAGCATCTTTCCAAAACAGAAACTGTTCTGGAAGGGAGGTTAAGAAATAATCCTAAAAAGCTCAATTGAAGGAGGCACTTTGCTTCAGCCCCAAGTTACTGTCTCAGGTAGGAGAGATAGCTGAGCTATCACCCCAGTCCATACAATCGGATAACTCTGTTTGCACTGCAGCCCAGACTGCTCAGCACCTACCTCCTGGTCAGTCACAGCAGGCACGTCCCTCCTGCCCTGAAAGGAAGGATGAAGGGTTGGAGAATGGCTCAAGGAGAAAGGTCACAGTGGATCCAGAAATCCCCTGTGTCCAGAAAGTCAATTGTGATAGTTATGGCCTAGAATAGGCCTGAGTCCTTAACATTTCTACTGCTGCAGGCTAACGAGACCAGGACTATTGTAACAGTGGAAAAGTACTGAAGGTTGAGCAACAGTGGAAAGCCCCGGAGTGGAAAGTACCGAGAGCAAAACTTGTAACTTTGTTAATACCTTTAGGCTTATAACCTATCAGTTATGCCAAGTAGAAGCTAATAGCCAATCAGTAGCTGACTAGTGGATACAGTTATATATAAAAGGGAGTGTACCGAGCAAATAAACGAAGTCTGCTTATACCTCATATTGAGTCTGCTTGCATTCTTCCTCCGCCGAGAAAAGGTAGCACTGATTCCGGACCAAAGACCCTGCTCAACTTTTTACCCGCATCTGGCGCCCGAACAGGGACCGAATTGGTGCTGCCACGAAGCTCAGCGGACAGGAGCAGGACACCAGGAGCAGCCCCTGGGGGACAAGAGCGATCAAACACTGTGGCAGTGTGTCGCTGCTGAGGATCCGGTTCGAGGAAAAGCCGTTGACAAGAGCGACCAAAACCAGCTGCTGCGGTGTGTCGACTCCGACGTCTGGTCCGAGAAAAGACCGTCGCTGCCAGGGCTACAGGCTGAGGGGCTGCAGGATTAACCTATTAGGGTAAGACAGCGCGCTTAAAGTGATCTAGTACGAATTATGGATTTGGAAGTAGCCCTAGAAATTTTAGAAAGCTTTTTAGAAAAGCGGGGAGTCGATAAGAATTGCGTTAAAGCAATAGCGGAACTAGTGGCAACTGGGCGAACACAGGGATATTTCAGTACGCCTGAAAATATATTTGAGGAAGAGGAATGGCGCAAATTGGGAGATTATTTGTGGGATAGGGTAATAGATGACGATAAATCCGCAAAGAAATTAATGAAACCATGGCGCGAGATTATTAATAATATCAAACGATATAAGATAGAAAAGAATCTTGCGGCAATAGCATCTTCAAAATTGGAACAAAAGGAACCCTCCGCGCCGCCATTAGGCGATTGTGGCCTCTCTCCATATTCTAGCAACGCCACGCAGGCTCCATCAGGGGGAGGGGTAATGTTTGGCGGAACGCGAATGCCCCCAGAGCCGGGTTGGCAAAAGGTATCTGTGAATAGACCTGTAGGAGAACATAAACAGGAATTAAATAGTGAGGCGAGAGAAAGTCCCGACTCTGTAAAGGAACCCAATAATCATGTTAAGAGACGGGTAACAGGAATTAACTGGAAAAAACTTCAGGAAGAGGCTGTAGCTGAGGAAGGAATGGGGGTGCTCTCAAATCTGGCGTTCCCAGTGATATTTAATGTTAACGATCAGGGTGACGTTCATGGGGAATATAATCCACTAAGTTGGAAAATGTTATCGCAGTTAAGGCAAACAGTGAATGATGTCGGCCTGCATGGAGAACCGACTAAGCAATTTCTGAATTATATATGGGGAAGCGTTTTGCTATGCCCTGAAGACATTAAGGTGATTATGAGAATGATAATGACGCAGTCACAAATCCTTTTATGGCAAGCACATTGGCAACGGCTCTGTGAAGCCTCAGCACAGCAACCAAGAGGGGACAATGATCCATTGAGGGGGGTTACTGTTGAACAGTTAATGGGATCAGGACCCTTTGTTACAGTTAGGGCACAGGTAGAGATGGGTCCGGAGAGATGTATGGAAGCTATGAGAACAGCTCGAGCAGCCGTAGAACTAGTAAAAACGACCCCCCCTTCACCCTCATATATGAATATAAAACAGGAAAGGGAAGAACCTTTTGCTACATTTGTCGATAGATTAACTAATGCCATAGAGCAGTCAGATATACAGGATTGGATGAAAGGGGCAATACTTCGGCAATGCGTTCTACAGAATGCTAATGCCTCAACAAAGAGTATTTTAGTGACTTTACCGGCTGATGCCACCATTGAACTAATGTTAGAAAGAATGAGCAGGGTACCAGTTGGTACACAAGCGATGCTAGTGGAGGCGATAAAAGAATTAGGGAGAGATTTCCTGCAAGCCCAACAACAAGCCCTTGCGGTACAACAACAAACTACTCAACAACCGTTATCGTTCGGGAAACGGCCAGCGGAGCGCGCCGAGCCGCCGCGCCCAGACAACAGTAGCCGCTCCAGCATTTCAAGCTCCTGTAGCGCCACAAGGGCTAGTGACACCCCCGAATCCCCCCAGCTGTTGTTAATAATCAAATGCAGTCTATGGGGGCTTTGCAGCCTGGATTACCTAACCCAGCAATGTTGCCGGAATTTTGGCATCTTTTAGTGATTGATCTTAAGGACTGCTTTTTTACTATCAGCCTACACCCACAAGATACTCAGCGTTTTGCATTTACCTTACCAGCTATTAATAGGGAGGCGCCTACTCAACGTTTTGAATGGACTGTGTTACCTCAAGGGATGAAAAACAGCCCTACCTTATGTCAGTTGTTTGTCGACAATGCCTTACAACCTATCAGACAACTATGGAGAGATGTTTTCATTTATCACTATATGGACGATATTTTGTTTGCACAAGAACACCCATTCGACCATCACCAGCTACAGGTCCTGCGACAGCGGTTAACGTCAAAAGGCCTGGTCGTGTCGGAAGAAAAGATCCAGCGAAAGGCGCCATGGCTTTATTTGGGCTGGAAAATTACAGATTCTCAGATACGTCCTCAAAAATTGCAACTTAAAACAGAAATAAATACCCTTAACGGAGCAGATCACAGAACACTTTGTGTCCAGGCGGAGTCTCGACCTCCCCATAAATCTTACCATCCGGCACAGCCATAACCAATTATTGGGTGCTTTAACTCAGCTTAAAAAGAAAAAGGGGGAGAAAGGCGAGCTTAAGATCTTAGAATGGATATTTACAAGTTTGCAGCCTAAAAAATCGATCCAGCCTAAGGCAGAGAACTTAGCAGAATTAATTAAAAAGGGCCGTACTAGAATTTTACAAATAACAGGAAAAGAACCGCAGCTTATACAGCTACCAATACCTAAGGAAGACCTTGACTGGTACTTAAGGCATAGTTCAAAGTTACAGGACAGTTTATTATCAGAGCACTCCTCAATTACCATAGAGCCTCTAAAATCACCTGTTGTGCAGTGGATCAATCATAATGAGTGGATACAGCGACCACTGAGGAGTGAGACTCCAATACAGAATGCTCTCACGGTTTTTACTGATGCAGGCAAAAGATCCAGGCGGGCGGCAGTTACCTGGATGGCTGATGGTGAATGGCACCACCATTTGCTGGACGCTATCCCTGGGGACTCGCTGCAAACGCTGGAACTTGCCGCAGTAACGTGGGCAGTAAAGTATTGGATTACCGTACCACTCAATGTCGTTACAGATTCACTCTATGTCGCTGGGGTGATGGAACGGATAGAGGATGCTCGTGTAAAAGAAGTTACCAATCCTAGGCTCAATGAACTTTTTAGACAATTGCAGACCGCCCTAAATTTACGGACAGTTCCCTATTCGGTTATCCACATAAGAAGTCACATGTGGACAGTGGGACTAGGGGAAGGAAACGATAAGGCAGATCAGTTAGTTATGCACACAGTACCTCTAAGTGACTTTATAAAAGCTAGAGAAGCACATAATATTTTTCATCAGAATGCACGAGGTCTAAAGTCTCAGTTTAATATCACCATAGAAGAGGCAAAGGGAATCGTGAGGACTTGTCCACAATGTAGTCATCATGGGCCTGGTCTGGGAATTGGGGTCAACCCCCGAGGAGTAAAGTCTTGTGAAATATGGCAGATGGATGTTACGCATGTGCCAGAGTTTGGGAGGTTAAAGTATGTGCACGTTACTATTGATACTTATAGTCATTTTGTTTGGGCCACCGCTCAGGCGGGAGAGAAAGCCATTCACGTCATACGACACCTAACCAGCTGTTTTGCAGTTATGGGGGTGCCAAAGGAAATTAAAACAGATAACGGTCCAGCTTATATCAGTGAAAAAATGAGAAAATTTTGTCAACAGTGGGGAGTTAAGCACGTAACGGGGATCCCGCATTCTCCCACAGGGCAGGCTATAGTGGAAAGGACAAACCAGACTCTGAAGCGTTATTTTGATAAATTTGCAGATATAAGAGATGTCTATGAACGGGTTTCGAAAACTTTATTTGTATTAAATTACTTGTGTATATTTGGCCCTGAAGAAGAGCCGCCAGTCAGAATACACTCTGGAATCCGGAAGCAACAACAGACGCAAATGAAAGTGTTTTATAAAGAACCAGAGACAGGGCAATGGCGAGGGCCTGCTGAGGTACAATACATAGGCAGAGGTTATATGTGCGTGCTTACGTCGACAGGACCCAAGTGGATACCAGCCAAGTGGACTCGTGCGGTCCAATCAAATGAACAGTCCGGAAACGAGGCGGCAACATCGTCTACAGAAGACATTACGACCACTTCTGGAACCGATTGAGAGACATTTTGAAGTTCGGCTATCATACCAGACAGAGGAGGATGCGATATTTTATTTACCTGGGGAACTTTATTCTCTGTGTAATAGGTTTACCCTACCAAATACAAATCATTGTCATGCCTGTTTATCGAAAAAACATCGTGCGTGGATAAAAATTAATTGTGGGCATTGTAATCAAAAGTGGTGGATATCTCAGTACCAATTAGGATCGCTTAACTGTTGTGTAAATTGTAATTGGGACTTGCAACGAGGTAATCCTATTAGAGCATTTCAAACAGAAACGGGAGTGTCCCTTTTGCAAACTTACCCAGTGGTAGAAAATAGGGAAGACCTGCGCCTACGACACTTACGGTGGCGAACACAACAGGTAATTAACTGCCTTCGAGCTGTGGCCGCCACCAGAATATTAGATATACAGTGCGGTCAGGATGTTGGGGTTCCAACCAGGTGGCAGGTTAGGCCTGCTGACTGGGACCGTACTTGTCGTCGTTTTTCCCAGCGCAGAAACAGTAAAAACTGATATCAGGCTAAGACATTTTTCTCCTAGAAAAAATGTTTGGATAACTTTAGCGAAGGCAATAAATCGAACTAACTTTTGTGTTTCATTAGCACAACCTGAATCCCCATTTCATACATGTCTCATTGGAATTCCCTTAAATAACTCTGAAGCGCGACACCTAATGGCCGATATCTCCAGTAAAATTGCAAAAAGCAAATGTAATACCACTATGATTAACTGTGCAGATCAGTATGATATCTGGGACGACAAACTGCCCTATGGGCCAATTCCACAAGAAATAGGCCTCCTGGGAACTCTTCATGCTCAATCCTGTCTATATATTAATTCATCTAATTGTAATGAGGCTAATGGTCAATGGTGTAATATCACCGACATTACGAACATCTCCCCCACTATGCCGCCATGGATTAACGATACTTACTGGTGCAACCATGTGGGGCGTAATAAAAGCAAACCAGCTCCAGGTACCACCATTCCCCGAAAATTACCCCCGGGGATATTTTTGTTATGTGGGGATAAGGCATTTTCAGGAATCCCTCAAAGACCAGTCGGAGGGCCATGTACCTTTGGACGACTTACTATTACATTGCCAACACTTGCTGGCCTCAAAAGCTTTGCAACTAATCTGAGTCACAGTGGCCGTAGCCGCCGTAGTGTGCCAGCCGCTGATTGCAATGACGAGGTTAAACTTTTTAATAGAGCTGAACAGGTAGTGTCTTCTTTATTTTTGCCAGGCCTTGCCGCTGGCCACGCTTTATTTCAATTAGAAAAATTGCAATGTTGGCTAGCCAAGCAAACAAATGCCACCTCAGATATATTGGCACTCTTGCAGCCGATGTTGATTCTGTAAGGCATGCCACATTAGAAAATAGAGCTGCTATTGATTTTTTACTCTTAGCACATGGACATGGATGTGAAGATTTTGAGGGAATGTGTTGTATGGATCTGACAAATAATTCCGAATCTATTCATAGAAAGATTCAAAAGTTGCAACAACATATACAACTATTAAAACAGGATAATGGATTTTTTGGAATCAATCTTGAAGGATGGGGCTTAACCGGATGGTTGAAAAGTTTGATAACTGAAGGATTGCGCTTTTTGTTTGTGCTTTGTTTATTAGGAGTTTGTTTTTGTATAGCTTTTACTTGTATAAGAAAAGGATTAGCCAAAGTAACAAATCGAATTTTTGTAACCCAAAAAGAAAAAGGGGGAATTGTTGGAGAATGGCTCAAGGAGAAAGGTCACAGTGGATCCAGAAATCCCCTGTGTCCAGAAAGTCAATTGTGATAGTTATGGCCTAGAATAGGCCTGAGTCCTTAACATTTCTACTGCTGCAGGCTAACGAGACCAGGACTATTGTAACAGTGGAAAAGTACTGAAGGTTGAGCAACAGTGGAAAGCCCCGGAGTGGAAAGTACCGAGAGCAAAACTTGTAACTTTGTTAATACCTTTAGGCTTATAACCTATCAGTTATGCCAAGAGAAGCTAATAGCCAATCAGTAGCTGACTAGTGGATACAGTTATATATAAAAGGGAGTGTACCGAGCAAATAAACGAGTCTGTGATACCTCATATTGAGTCTGCTTGCATTCTTCCTCCGCCGAGAAAAGGTAGCACTGATTCCGGACCAAAGACCCTGCT